AGGTCAAATAGGTCCTGCACATGTTTTCTTGTGGTTAATGTGATGTGTGTGATTCAGAGTTAGTTGTAGACATGGTTTCCCTCTGGTTTTCTCAGATCACGTGTCTATCGGTGGTCTTGGGGACAGTTTCTACGAGTACCTGATCAAATCCTACCTGATGTCAGAGAAGACGGATCAGGAGGCCCAGAAGATGTACTACAGCGCCATGGAGGTTCGCAAACATCGCCAAAACACTATTTATTGTATGCTTGTGCTATTTAATTTTCTTGCAATTTAGTTGCACATGCTATTTCTGGTCTTCAGTATGTTCAGTAAAAAATTAAGAAATAGAAATGAGAGTCTGTACCGGCGGTAAGCGTGTAAAATAGATTGCACGCTTTAATTTAAGCTTGATTAGATTAGTTTAAGATTAGATTCACCTCGCGCTCATAATGATCCGAGGGGAGAAATATAACAGAGAGAGCGAACACTTTCTCACTTATTCTCACTTAATTAGCATATTAGCGTTTTCATTACACAATGTTTCCCTTGAAGAATGAGATCTGCCAAGATATTAATTACATTTATAATCAGAAGAGGCCAGTTTCATCAGCCTAATTTTAAAACATCAAACATGTTATCAAATATCCAGTCCTTTGTGCAATACTTTTGATTAGTGTGAGTGAGTTAATAAGTTGATGTGAAATGTTTGCAGCCCATATAATGTTTGATGTTTGTCTCGATAGTCATGCATTTGCTCTGATTCTGATTTCACGTTGACTTTAAGTGGGTTGTTTTCATTTGATGATGCAAAAATGCAGAAAACTGGTGATGCAAGCAAAGAAAAAGCATCTGAACGAGTTTTGTGTGGGCTCACAGAGCAAAAGCAAACGATGAGTCATTCGCTATTGATCGTCATGATGGCTTACGCTGTTTTCTGCTTCTCTAAAGAGCTGAAACCATAAAAACGCAGGAGAAGAGACTCTGACTCTGAGATGTTTTCTCGTAAAGTCTTTGGCAGATTTATACACCTTCACGTCTCAAAATCCCGATAGAATCTCAGTGAGGCTTGACTTCAATTCTCCACGCTGCACACTGTCTTATATTATACATAAAACATTCCATGCATAAACGTCGACTTCTACAGCAATGTGTGCACACCGTCCTGCTTTTATATGTGCTTTATTGAAATCCAGCGTCGCCTTGATTTCAAAGCACTTTACAAATCGAATGGATGTTTCTTCACTCTCGCACAAAACACGTCCATCCTTCTGTTTCTCATAGCAAGCGCGTTCGGCTGCGATTAATAGCTGCATTATCTTCAGCGTGCATGAAAATCTAATGCTCCATCACTCAAATATGCTTTTCAGAAAGAGCTGGTAGCTGAAATTCACCACTACACTGTAAAGGATCATTTTTTTTGAAGTTGAAAATAAAACAAAGTATGTTTTACAAAAAATAAAAAAATGTCAGTCTTTGCACTTCAAAATGTCTCTTTAGAAATTTTTAAAAAGTATTAATTAATTTATTAAAAAGTATTAATTAATTGAAGTAAAGCTGAAATAAAATAGAAAAATTTAATGAAAATTGAAATGTTGCCTTGGCAGCTTACTAAAATAATAAGTTAAAGTGCTAAAATTACTAAAATTGAATTACTAAAACTAAAAGTAATTAATTAGAAAAATTGCAAAAGCACATGATAAAATTACTAAAAATTACACTAAATTGAAAAAAATGTAAATAAAAGCTAATTTAAAATTGTAATAAATAATATAACGGTATACAAATAATGTTAAATGGAGGGTGTTGCAGTTTAGTTAGTAAATGATTTGTCTCTTACAAGAAAGATTATTTTTTGAAGTTGTAAATAAATCAAAAAGTATGATTTACAAGAAAAAAAAAACATTTGTATTTCTACTTCAAAATTTATATTTGATTAAAACTATTAAAAAACATTGTTTTCGTTAATTGATGTAAATCTGGAATGAAATTAAATATAAATATAAATATTAGATGAAAAACCTAAACTTAAATTATAATTGTTGCCTGGGCAACTAGCTAAAATAAATATGTTGAAGTGCTAAAATTACTAAAGCAGAAATAAAAATAAAATTAGAGCTATATAGAAATCTGAAAAAAAATGGCAAAAACTTACAAACAAACAAACTTAAACTAAATTGAAAATATAATAATAAAAGCTAATTTAAAATATTATTTAATACTTTAAAAGTGTACAAATAATGTATAAATAATGTTAAACAAGAGGGGGTTACAGTTTAGTAAGTGATTTGACTTACAAAAAAGATTATTTTTTGAAGTTGTAAGTAAAACAAGAAGTATGTTTTACAACAAAATACTATTTCAGTGTTTCTTCAGAATTTCTATTTTATGAAAACTAAAAAAAAAAGTGAATTGAAGCTAATAAAATAAAATATATTAGATGAAAAACTTTGCTTGGCAACTAACTAAAATAAGTTGAAGTACTAAAATTACTCAAACTGAATCTAATAATAAAAGTTAATTTAAAATATTAATAATACTATAACAGTATATAAATATTCAGAATTTCTATTTTATGAAAACTAAAAAAAAAAAGTGAATTGAAGCTAATAAAATAAAATATATTAGATGAAAAACTTTGCTTGGCAACTAACTAAAATAAGTTGAAGTACTAAAATTACTCAAACTGAATCTAATAATAAAAGTTAATTTAAAATATTAATAATACTATAACAGTATATAAATAATGTTAAATGCAGGGTGTTGCAGTTTAGTTAGTAAGTGAATTTTTTTTTATTATTATTAAAGTTGTAAATACATCAAAAAGTATGATTTATAAGAAAATACTATTTCTGTCTTTCTAAAAATTCAATTTTTATTAAAACTTGTTTAAAAATCATTAATTGAAGCTAGAATAAAATAAAATATATTAAATGGAAAAACTTAAGCTTAAAAAAACAACAAATGAAAATTAGAAATGTTGCCTTAGCAACGTATGTTGAAGTACTAAAATTAGTAAAACTGTAATAAAAATAAACCAAAGCTGTATAGAAATATGAATAACTAATAAAAACGGCAAAAGCACATAAAATTACAAAAAACGTATTTGTTTGCTTGTTTGTTTGTTTTTGCTAAATTACTAAAACTAAACTGAAAATCTCAGCCAGCTAATTTAAAATATTGATAAATATTACAGTATATAAATGTTTACAGTATATAATATACAGTATAGTATATTACAGTGATTAAGTGATTTGACTCCAGAAAAACGGATTATTTTTTTGAAGTTGTAAATAAAACAAAGTATGTTTTACACGAAAATACTGTAAGTCTTTCTCCTTCACAAATTCAAATTTAATTCAGTGTGTTACTTGCTGTTTCTTTGTAATTATTTGTGAAATATGTTAGCAATTTCTGAGTGAAAATAGTTTCACAGTAAATCCGACACCAGTTTTTTTCCAGCCGCATTGCATTGATCAGAGTGATTTTTTCCCTGTGCGTTTGCAGGCCATCGAGACGAACCTGGTGCAGAAGTCTCCGGGTGGATTGACGTACGTGGCTGAGTGGCGGGGTGGCATCCTGGACCATAAGATGGGGCATCTGGCCTGTTTCTCCGGCGGGATGATTGGCATCGGCGACTGGTTTGTGCTCCAGGGTCACATTTCACACAGTAACACAGCGTTAGTTAGTGTAGGATAAGCCACTTATCATTTAAACTAATAGGAACTGTGCAGCATCACTCCATTGCATCTGAATCGACTCTTTAAAATGCTGAAAATGCATTCAAATACATGCTAAAATAAGATAAGAATCATTAATACCATTACAGTATTTATTAATCATTTGAATTTGTTTTTATTTTTATATTTTCCTTTTTAATTTTAGTTTAAGTTTTAGTCATTTTGTTGTGTTTGTGTAATTTTTATATTTTTTGTTAAAATTTTCCCTCAATTTTACAAATTTTAGTACTTAAAATAATGAAAATTAAAAATGTTAATTTAAATAATTTGAATTTTGTTTTTATATTTTCTGTTTTTATTCTAATTTTAGTTTACATTTAAGTAATTTTGTTTTTTCTTGTTGTTGTTAATATTTTATTTTACTTCAGTTAACGATTATTTTATTTCAAGTAATGGATTTCATAGGGCTCTAATCAGTGGACTATCCTCGTACAATATAGGCCATATTTTCCTTTTTACACCATTCTCGTTCTTACTAATTCAAGCTCTCTCAACTTGTTATATTTTACAGTTTGTCAGTTGATGTAAGATTTTGTAGGCAGTGTATGTACATGTGCCCCCCCCATAACAAGTCCCAATTTAACCCCTGGTTATAAGCAGTGAAAAAGCACTAGTTAGTCTTTAATCTCCCTCATGCTGATTGCTCAGCTGGTGTAAATACTAGCAGATAAAACAAAGTCGCCGCTGAACAGATGCTTTGAGCTTTGTGTTTTTACAGCGTGGAGAGACCTGAGGTCATAAACACACAGCGTGTGTGTAGTTTGTGTGCACAATGACCGCCAGCAAACTTTATGAAAACACAATGCTTTCAAAGCAGAACATAACATAACAAACCCAAATGTATCCCATTATGCCCCTAAAATCTAAAATTACAAGCAGCCCCGGTCCGGGAGAAACACTCTCGTCTGAATAAACATTTTAATTTGCATACTGATTTTGTTTTGTTTTGTCTCAATCCCCCGTCTCTTTAGCAATATTATGCCACTTCAGCCTGGAACAGTATTTTCCGCAGCGCAGCTGTGTGTTCAAGTGTAGTATGGTGGTTTTTTGGTGATTATCGGTCTGTTACGGTGAGAGAAACTTTCCCACGGGGAAGCGTTTATTGTCAACACTGATATGACACTTCTCGATTTATAGCATGATGTTTCTCCAAACGTGTTTAATATAACAGCTTTTTTCAGCTTCACGACACCGTGGGGCATATTATAATGAAAATAATATGTTAATAAAAGAAAAACATAAGACAGTTTTGAAATACCATAGACTTGAAGTGCAACGCCACATATACAGATGCATAAAAATAAAAAAGAAGATATAAATAAATCTCATGATCATATTTAACTACAAAATCAAAAGGAATAAATTAAGAAATGATATTCTGCATTAAAAATGATCCTGTTTTTAGGACCATTACGATTATATAATATTTTTTCTCATCAAATTTTCACCATAATTAATTCACATTATTTTCAAATTAGATTCACATTATTTTAATACAGTAAATTTTTCTACTGCAGTAGATAATGTAATCCATACATAATGAAACGACAGTGTTATTTTATGAGATACCATTATAGTTTTTTAATGCTTTTATTTTTAGATTTTTAGTAATTTTGTTGTGTTTTGTCATTTTTAGTGTTTATATATATATATATATATATATATACACAATGTATATAGCTTGGGTTATATTTTCAGTTTAGTTTAAGTTTTCGTAAGTTTGTTATGTGCTTTTGTCATTTTTATAAACTTTTTTCTTACATTTCTATATAGCATTACTTTATTTTTAAGGTTTAGTTATGGTGCAACAAATACTATGAAGTATAAATACGTCAAAATTGAAATAATATTTAAATTATAATACTGTTTTCATACGGAAATTGGAATTGGAAATGAGAATTTGGGGGTGAAAATATCTGTGCTTCATTTTCTTGTTATATATAATGCTATATATAATTCCTCATTTGTCTCTTTTGATTTTGGTATAAAATCTGACCCGACATGTTCTCAGCAGGTTTCATTCATCTATTGTTCATCGGCTCTGGATTTTATTTTAAGAGAGACGTGAGGTCAGAAATGTAGAGACGAGATCAAACATGATGTTTGCTAAATCTGTAGCATTTGGATTCTCCTGATGAGAGCGCTGTGAAGAACTGTGCGCTCTGAAGCAGGTTAGGCTTCATCTCATCTGTTTGCTTCTGTTGTCTGAGAAAGCAACAGTCTGAGGCTGTGATTATCCAGCGAAGCATGAGGAGAAAGATAAGACAAAGGGATGTTTCTGGGGAAGCTGCCTTTCAGCTATTTTATAAGAGTCAAATCACTTACCAACTAAACTGCAGCACCCTTCCGTTTGATCAGTGTTATTTTAACATTATTTATATACTGTTACATCATTTATTAATATGGTAACACTGTATTTTAAGGACCAATTCTCCCTATTAACTAGTTGTTTATTAGCATGCATATTTCTAGCATATTGGCTGTTTAGTGAAATCGCAATCAACCACCCCTTTAACAACTACCTTACTAACTATTAATAAGCAACACATTAGGAGTTTGAGGCAAAAGGCATAGTTAATATAGTCAGAATTAGTCCTTAAACTAAAGTGTGACCATTTATATTAGCTTTTATTATTATATTTTCAGTTTAGTTTTAGTAAATTTATATGCTTTTGCAATTTGTATTATTTTTTATTTCTATATTATTATATTTTTATTTCTATATAGCTTGAATTTATTTTTACATTTTAGTATTGTTAGTTCAAATTAAACTTATTTCAGTTAGTTTGCAATTAAACATTTCTAATTTTCATTAAATTTTTTTAATGAAATTTTAAGTCTTTCATCTAACATACATACATACATATATTATTATTTTTATTATTTTAGTTGACAATAACAACACTGTGACATGAATTTAAATCAAATCATTGTTATACTTTGTACTGTCTCCTTAATATGTAAATTAAGTTTAATAATATAAATTGTAGGACATAGCATTGTTATCGTTAACTAAAACTAAATCTATAATTTTTTTTATTGTTCTAAGCATTAACGGAAATAAATAAAATAAATAAATAAAAACAAACTTTTTTTATTTCTGTTAGTTTCCAAGCAAATGTTTCAAATTTGTATTTAGTTTAAATACTAAAATTATTACAACATAAATAAAAATAAATAAAATGTAAATAGAAATATGAATATGAATTTAATACAAAAATAAATACAAACAAAAATAACTGAAATGAAATGAAACAAAAATCTTATTTCATTTAGTTGCAAATGCAACATACTTTTCGTTTAACTGAAGTACTAAAATTACAAAAACTAAAATGGAAATAAAAAGTAAATAGAAATAAAAAAACAACAACAACAAGAAAAAACAAAATTACTTAAATGTAAACTAAAATTAGAATAAAAACAGAAAATATAAAAACAAAATTCAAATTATTTAAATTAACATTTTTAATTTTCATTATTTTAAGTACTAAAATTTGTAAAATTGAGGGAAAATTTTAACAAAAAATATAAAAATGACACAAACACAACAAAATGACTAAAACTTAAACTAAAATTAAAAAGGAAAATATAAAAATAAAAACAAATTCAAATGATTAATAAATACTGTAATGGTATTAATGATTCTTATCTTATTTTAGCATGTATTTGAATGCATTTTCAGCATTTTAAAGAGTCGATTCAGATGCAATGGAGTGATGCTGCACAGTTCCTATTAGTTTAAATGATAAGTGGCTTAGATAGATGGATGGATGGATGGACAGACGAACGTATAGATAGATAGATAGATAGATAGATAGATAGACAGATAGACGGATGGACAGATAAACATAGATAGATAGATAGATAGATAGATAGATAGATAGATAGATAGATAGATAGATAGATGGATGGATGGATGGACGGACGAACAGATAGATAGACAGATAGACAGATAGACAGATGGACAGATAAACATAGATAGATAGATAGATAGACGGACAGACAGACAGACAGATCTGGAAGTTTCTGCAGTGTATCTGATGAAGCAGTGTGCGGTTGAGGATCTGTGGTGTTTTTCGCGGCTCTTCCTCACATTAGCTCTGGTAACTGAACGCTCGGCTGTGACTCTTACATTAAAATAAAGCCAATGTTAAAGTGCTGCTCTCCTCCAACAGACTGACATGTTAATTACTGGCTGCAGGAGGTGGAGGAGAACGCAAATGGATTTGTCAAATACATCTCCAAACCAAACTCACGAGACAGTCCTAATTATAGTCTAGGTGTCTACCTTTGTTTGAGGTTAATACATCATTGATTTGCCATGTCAGCTCTTCTTTTATTCAGCGCTCAAATTTAGTGGTTAATCTTCTAGCTAACTTTTAAGTGACGGAAATAGCAGCTCTCCTGTTTTAAAGGATGTCTCACAAATCGCTTGTATCTTCTGCCAGCAAGAAACTGTACCAAACAGGTCGCTTCTGCTTCAAGTATTTTTTTTCAAAAAAAACCTGTAAAATTGTGAAATATTATCATAATCTAAAATCGCTGTTTTCTATGTGAATATATTGTAAACTGTCATTTATTTCTGTGATGCAAAGCTGTATTTTCAGCATCATTACTCCAGTCTTCAGTGTCACATGATCTTCAGAAATCATTCTAATATGCTGATTTGCTGCTCAAGGAACATTTCTGATTATTATCAATGTTGAAAACAGTTGTGCTGCTGAATATTTTTGTGGAAACTGTGATACATTAGATTTTTCAGGATTCACAGATGAATAGAAAGTTCAAAAGAACAGCATTTATTTGAAATTGAGAATCATTTGTAACATTATAAATATCTTTACTTTCATTTTTGATCAATTTAAAGCATGCTCAATGAATAAAAGTATGAATGCAATGTTGCTTTGGATAATCTGTCAAAGTGTCTGCCAAATGCATAAAATGCATTAAATTTAAATATTTGAAAAGTATGAAAAATTAGAATGACTTTTCTCCTCATGTTTTATCATCCTAGCCATGCATGATTATATAGTTAGTTGCTTTATATTATTTGTAATAACTTTGCTGTTGAGAACTACTGATGTAAGATTACTGGTACTGTATAACGAAGTGTCACATGACCTATATTGTTTCTTGGCACAGTAGAATTATAAACATTGTGATTAAATGTTTTCACAGGCGTTAGAGAAGCACTGTCGTGTAGACGCGGGTTTCTCAGGGATCAGAGACGTGTACGCCTCCACAGTCAGTCACGACAACATGCAGCAGAGCTTCTTCCTGTCCGAGACTCTCAAGTAAGTTCACTATCATGTTCCTGTTCCTGCACCTTCCTGAATCTGGCATCTGTAGGTTTAATAATGAGTCACGGTAGCATTCTGCTCTACACATAATGCAGAACATCAGGAGGAACAATCATGATGATCAAAGCAAGATGAAATAAAAAGATGAATTTGATTTTAATGATACTTTTTGGCGTTTCTTCCTTTCAAGAACCAAAAGGCACAAAAACCCCACAACATAAGACTTTGGGGAAGTCGTGGCCTAATGGTTAGAGAGTCGGACTCGTAACCCAAAGGTTGCGAGTTCGAGTCTCGTGCAGGGATTGTAGGTGGGGGGAGTGAATGTACAGCGCTCTCTTCCACCTTCAATACCACGACTGAGGTGCCCTTGAGCAAGGCACCGAACCCCCAACTGCTCGCCGGGCGCCGCAGCAAACAAAAATGGCTGCCCACTGCTCCGGGTGTGTGTTCACGGTGTGTGTGTGTTCACTGCTCTGTGTGTGTGCACTTTGGATGGGATAAATGCAGAGCACTAATTCCGAGTATGGGTCACCATACTTGGCCACATGTCACATCACTTTTGCGCTGCATTTCATATTATCTGAGCCATTTAATACCTTCCATTGACTTCCTTTACTTCTTTTATCCCTACAAAGCCTGTTTTTTCATATTTGATACTCAGATTTCTAAGACCTCTAAATGATCAGCATGATCAAGCTCCATGCCTTCTGTCGTCTGATTCATCAAGTAAAAGCTCTTTTAGTGTGATTGTACAAACGTCCAGCTTCAGCTCGTGCTTCACGTGTCTTTCTGCTGTTTTTTATAAAGTAAATGTAAGAATAACTTTGATATTGTTAGTAAATATTGTTAGTAAAACATTTACTGGACTGAAGCAACTTTACTTGATTATCCAGACATGATTTTTTAGAAAAATCAGTGTCTCAAATATGATCATCAGGCTTTTGAGGAACGTTTATTTCTTCATCTCTCAATCGTCATTGTATTGCATTGTATGTTTAGATCATCAAACTAAGCATTTAAATCTCATTTCACTAAGACATATTATTGGAGATACAGAGTGATGAATGATATTTATATCATTTTATGTAAGTATCTTCTATACTGTTATAAAGATCTCACTGATTTACATTACAAGCATCAGAATTTCATCTTACTTTTTGTCCATATAAATATCAGCATCTGCTCCAAATTGCATATTTCTGCTCAGTTTGGGCCTCTGAACAAAATTCAGTGTTATTTTACTATCATTGAGAAACTATTAATGTTTGTATTAATGTTATAATATTATAATATAATATTTTTTTAAATAATATTTTAGGAATATTTTATTAATATCAGTTTGCATTTTTATATTTTGTTTAATTTTATATTTTTAATAATTTTGTTGGGTGTTTTTTGTAATTTGTTGTCGCGGTTTTTCTTTTTTTGGTCAATTTTTTTATTAATTTTTATTTCATTTTTAGTTTGAGTTATTTCAGTACATCAAGTTTTTAAATTAAAATGACAAATATTGCCTTTGCAACTAGCTGAAAAAAGTATTTTTTCTATTCTATTTTATTTTAGTAAATGTTTATTTTATTTCAAGTAACAAAAGTTTAGTTTTTATGGTTTCAGTTTCAGTTTTAGTTACTTATAATAACCCAGATAAAATTGAGCTGTTTTATCCTCCATATTCTCACTACTTCATACTATATGAGCCATAAAACCATAAAAGCCTGATGTATCCAATATGATACTAAAACACACACACACACATATATATATATATAGTTTCTATATTCAATAAACTGTTCCATTTCAGAAATATACGTTTTTTTTTGTTTTTTTTTACTATTACTGTTATTTCATGTCAAAGTAAAGTTTGACCTTGACATGAAATAACAGCCACTAATATATTTATATATATACGTTTTTTTTTTTTTTAATGGAACAGTTTATTGACAAAATGGTGCTTTTTATATATTTCTTGGAGTTTGACAGCATCCGTTCACATTCAGTTTAGTCTAGTAGAAAAGTATGCGGTGTCAAAGCAGACTGGCATTGCAATGCTGTGCTTTTAGGCTGATATTTTGACACTTTTGTGAGTTTTGTTAACCCCGTCCGTATGCGATCGCAGATACCTGTACCTGCTGTTCTCGGACGACGACCTGCTGCCGCTGGAGGACTGGGTGTTTAACACAGAGGCTCATCCGCTGCCCGTCATACGCAAGAGATGCCTGCAGGAGCACGTCACCACGCAAGACGACGGACAGACCAACCTGGAGTAGTATTTACCATCACACACACACACACACACACACACACCTGAAACACGGATTCAACCTCACGGGTCCTGACATGGATTCTCAGCTCCTTTCCTTTAAAGGATCTCTTCATATATATATATATACATATATGCTGTGATTGTATATCTCTGAGCTGAGGCTTCCCGCTCTCCTCGGCGGGTGGAAGCCGGCGCAATTTTCCGTGGACAATCAGTGAAACGTGACTTTCATGAGAAGATCACCTTTTTTCTTTGCTTCTTTCCTCTGTGAGGAAAAAACGAATAACTTGCAGCCCCGAATCTATGGGAGGAGTGCCGTATGATGGCGGGCCATGCTGAGCGAAAGAGAAAACCACTTTTCTTCACGTCTCACCTGTAATTTATCTTTTCTTTCATCCTTTCATTGTGTATTCCTTTCCCCGTCTCTTCTGCCAAAGCGTTTGCGGTCTTCTTTATTTCGTTTTCTCTCCCCGCCCGTGATATTTTGTTCTATCTAGTTTCGAGTCCAATTTTGTGCTATGGTTTTTTCTTTATTATTTCAAGGCAGAGCGAGGACTGAGGTATTTACAAACCTGACAGGAGGATCCTTCCTGAAATGTGTTGTACAGAATCCTTTGGTTTGAACAGGAAGTTGAATGATGTCATCGGCAGGGCAGGATTGTTTTACATGATTTTAAACTTAAACTTGTATTTTTTTTTTTTATGCTTCAACTGCATTGTGAGCCTCGGTGTTGTGCACGACATGCCATGTTTCAAAGACCAGTATCACGAGAGTGGAAAAACACACACTTGCACTGACACCGGATGGCCACTAGGGCTGGGCGATTATATATTGAATATTCATTATATTTTTGCAATGATTTTGCTGGAGATTGTGAATCAAAAATTATATAAATGTGTGTTTTTTTTTTTTTTTAGTCTAGTTTGATAATGATTGTTCAATATCAAAAACAGCATTTAAGTTTGATCCATTTTCATAACTCACTTCAAACTGTACGCTTTAATGAATCGATTCAAAACCCTAAAACAAAAAAGCATTTTTTTCATCTTTTAAAAATGCCGAAGATTCTGAATCATGCAATTATTTTAATGCACTTTTTTTTAAGTCAAACTAGAAAAGATTGCATCATCAGAGTAGTTTCATCAAAAACAGCATTTATGTTTGATTCATTACCATAGAAAGCATTTTTTTCATCTTTTAAAAATGCCGAAGATTCTGAATCATGCAATTATTTTAATGCACTTTTTTTTTTGTCAAACTAGAAAAGATTGCATCATCAGAGTAGTTTCATCAAAAACAGCATTTATGTTTGATTCATTACCATAGATCACTTCAGATTGTCCGTTTCAATGAATCGATTCAAAAATCCTAAAACAAAGATGCATTTGCATCATTGCTCAAAAATTCCAGTGATTGTAAAACAATTATTTTAATGCGCTTTTTGTTTTATATATATAAATATAAAAAAATTATATATATATATATGGCTCAAATATATAACTCAATATATATATGGCCTGTGCTTTTGCCATTATTAGCCATTTTTATTATTATATATATAGTTTTATCAGTTTTTATTTACGTTTTAGTTGTTTTATTACATCATGTCAAACTAAATTGATTACTAAATAGTTTTTTTTATGGTTTTATAATTAGTTAACTGTAATAACCCTGGTTCACTGGTTCACTTCTTATTTGCATAAAATAAATGTTGTCAACTTTATTACATCCTAAACATGCCCAAATCACATTACCAATGGTCACTGTGACTCATTGCTGGCTCTAAATGAAAATTAATGACTTTCAGCATTTATGTTTGATTCATTACCATAGATCACTTCAGATTGTCCGTTTCAATGAATCGACTCAAAAATCCTAAAACAAAGATGCATTTGCATCATTGCTCAAAAATTCCAGTGATTGTAAAACAATTATTTTAATGCGCTTTTTGTAATTTGTTCATTAAGTTTCATGAAGATTGCATCATCAGAGTAGTTTCATGATGATTCTTCAGAATCAAAAACGGCATTTAAGTTTGATTCATTTCTGTGAATCTCTTCAGACTGTCCATATCAATGAATCAATTCAAGTCTCTAAAACAAAGATGCATTTGCATTATTGCTCAAAAATGCTTGAGATTGTGAATCTCACAATTCTATTAATTTGTCCATTTAAGATTCCTATCATGATTCTTCTTCAGTATCAAAAACAACGTGTAAGTTTGATTCCTTTGCATGAATCTCTTCAAACTGTCCATTTCAATGAATGGATTCAAAACTCTAAAGCAAAGATTTGCATCATCACTCAAAAATGCAGGATATTGTGAATCACATAATTATTTGAATGTGCTTTTTTTTTTTTTTTTTCATTGCATTATGCGTCCAAAAGACTAGTTCCATGATTCTTTTACAGCATACATCCTAAACATGCCCAAATCACATTACCAATGGTCACTGTGACTCATTGCTGGCTCTAAATGAAAATTAATGACTTTTAGTTGCTTCGTCACTACTAATCACTCCTTATTTTCTGTCACCACACTGAATTGCAAAAACAATGACTGTTTTCAAACAGGTTTCCCTAAACATCCTGCAATTGGCCGGACATGCAGATAGTCCCGCCCCCAAACTCACTTCATTGGTTGAATCCATGTGATTCTCAAACAAACCGATCAATGTTTTGAAAGTGTCACAGTATTGCACAGTGTCTGCACATTAATCTGGGCATATTTTAACATCCAAAAGTTGCACACTTCAGCTTCACTGGTTCAATTCTTATTTGCATAAAATAAATGTTGTCAACTTTATTGCATCCTAAACATGCCCAAATCACATTACCAATGGTCACTGTGACTCATTGCTGGCTCTAAATGAAAATTAATGACTTTTGGTTGCTTCGTCACTACTAATCACTCCTTATTTTCTGTCACCACACTGAATTGCAAAAACAATGACTGTTTTCAAACAGGTTTCCCTAAACATCCTGCAATTGGCCGGACATGCAGATAGTCCCGCCCCCAAACTCACTTCATTGGTTGAATCCATGTGATTCTCAAACAAACCGATCAATGTTTTGAAAGTGTCACAGTATTGCACAGTGTCTGCACATTAATCTGGGCATATTTTAACATCCAAAAGTTGCACACTTCAGCTTTAAGAATGAGTTTTTATGAGACTCTCTGGACCTACAGCTGCACGTCAGTTTCAGCTCTGACTGAAGCATCATCAGCGACCAGCTCGATACAGCGAACCTCTCGGGCCCAAAACAGCTATGCAAGGTCAATTCTGTTAGTCGTTGCATTTCACATTAGATTGCATTGAGAGTTTTTCCTCTGAGGGCTCTGTAACGGAGCGAACCAATAAACTGCTCTCTTCTACACGTGTTTTTTTTTTTCTCTTTCAGGTCGACTGCTGTCAAGGGAATCTTCATGCAGTTCAATTTCAGACATTCAGTTGAACCCGTTGAGTACTGAAGTTTGTTACCGCCAGGAACATGAGCGTATTCACATTTGCATGCATACATAATATGCTGCATACCTTCCTGTATTTCTCCTCTTTCCTCTCGAAATTAACCTGAAATGCCAATGGAAACCATTTTACGTCCATAATGCATTATGCGTCCAAAAGACTAGTTCCATGATTCTTTTACAGCATTTAAGTTTCATTCACTTCCGTGAATCAGTTCAGAATCCATTCAGAGCTCCAAAACAAATATGCTTTCGCATCATCTCTCAGAAATGCTGGAGATTGAGAATCACACAATTATTTTAATTTGTTCTTTAAGTTTCCTAAAAAAAAAATTGCATCATCAGACTAGTTTCATGATTCTTCTTCAGTATCAAAAGCAGCATTTAAGTTTGATTAGTTTCTGTGAATCAGTTCAAATGAATCAATTCAAAACAAAGATGTATTTGCGTCTTCACTCAAAAAAAATGTTCTCAAAGTCTCCATTTGGTGCTTTTTTATATTATTTTAGTAGAAATATCTGTAAGTAAATATTTTGACCATGTACTGTTATACTGGTGTGTATAAATGAAAACGAATCAGCTGTGAATAACACATTGATTAAATCAGTTCTGCAGATTTTCACCCAAAATCAACACAGAAAATGTGAAATCGCCTGCTTTCTTTAGCACTATCGCCCAGCCCTGTCGGCCAAAGTCGTCTCAAAGCATCGATGGTGAATGTGAACGTTTTTTTCCCGGGGTTTTTGTTCCTGAAGCAGCGCCGTCAGACAGTAATGGTGGAATGAATCTTTACAGGATGAATGTGAGTGATCCATGTCATTAATTGTTCCTGTTTTCTCTCTCTTTCTCTTTTCTAACTTTTATGGACGTTCATGAAAGACTCGTTCTTTTCGTTTTTCTCAGGTGTTTCTGTACAAGTTTTGATTACAGTTATTTGCACTATTCATTACGGTAGTGCTGATCATTGTTAATTTGAACGTCTTCTGTCTCTCATTGTTGAATATTTTCAAATACTGTGAACCCGTTGAGTACTGAAGTTTGTTACCGCCAGGAACATGAGCGTATTCACATTTGCATGCATACATAATATGCTGCATACCTTCCTGTATTTCTCCTCTTTCCTCTCGAAATTAACCTGAAATGCCAATGGAAACCATTTTACGTCCATAATGTGATGCATTTATGACTGAAACAGCAATATCCAATTATATACATTTTATTATATCTTATTTATTTATTCTGATTTATGAACCCGTTGAGTACTGAAGTTTGTTACCGCCAGGAACATGAGCGTATTCACATTTGCATACATACATAATATGCTGCATACCTTCCTGTATTTCTCCTCTTTCCTCTCGAAATTAACCTGAAATGCCAATGGAAACCATTTTACGTCCATAATGTGATGCATTTATGACTGAAACAGCAATATCCAATTATATACATTTTATTATATCTTATTTATTTATTCTGATTTATTAATTACAGTTATTTGCACTATTCATTACGGTAGTGCTGATCATTGTTAATTTGAACGTCTTCTGTCTCTCATTGTTGAATATTTTCAAATACTGGTAAACGATCTGTGCGATTTATACATTTAAAATGAGTGCACAAATAATCTAAGTGTCTTTCTTTTGTGCTCTGCACTTAACATTACTTAACTTAAAACATGTCATTAATCTTCAACCTGCGTTGAGTGCCACTTACATCCTCAAAATACTGCACATGATTCATAGGTTTTGCTATGAATATTCTGCACTTTGGTGACCCATTAGATTTTATAAAGCATTACTGCCACAAATCTCAGATAAACAATCTATTACACTCTAAAAAATGCTGGGTTAAATATAACCCAGCTATTGGGTTGTTTTGACCCAGCGGTTGGGTTCAAAACCCAGCATTTTTTAGAGTGTAGTTAGCAGTGTTATTTTAGTACCATTGAGATACTATATTTTGAATTTTATTTTACTTTTACTTATTTTTTATATATTTTTATATTACTTTTTTATTTTTACATGTTCAAAATTTTAGTAATTTAGCTGTTTTTGCCAGTTTTATTAGTTTTTTTATTAGACATTTTTATTATTTTATATATCTAGATATATTATTTATATATATCTAGTTTTTATTCATTTTTTAATTTAGTTTTAGTTATTTTAGTTCATCAAGTTAAAATAAATGAAAATTAGAAATGTTGCCATGGCAACTAGATGGGGAAAGTTTTTTATATATATTTTAATAAATTTTTGCCAGTGTTTTGCCTTTTTTTTTTTATTAGCC